CAAGGACTGCACGGGAGACCTTCGTTTAACAAGGTTCTTTTCTTTTCTCATTGGACCCGTACACAGTATTATGTCCTTTTGGGATAAAGATCTGGACCTCCTGACATCAGCGTTTCTCATGATCTACGCCTTGTTGGCACGTTGACTAGGGCAAATGCAGCATAAATGCTATAGCTGGTGCTGCCCTGGAAACTTAGGAGCTTTGAGTTCCTTAAGGAGAGAGAATGTGAGTACCTAGCGTAATACCCAGCATATAAAGCAATAAAACAAATAAATATTTGTCGAATGAATCAACAGCGCACTGAAAATGTAATTCACAGATTTTTTTTGTTTTGTTGAGTATAATCCCAAATGTGGACATCACTTTTGCAATAAAGAAACTGGGATATCCTTGTTAAGTATAAACTCCTCTCTACATAAGCTGCTATGGAAAGGAACCACACTTCATGAGCCTTGGGACCTTGCAAATTCCACCATAAAGACTGGCATGTAGTAGGAACTCAGTAACTGTTCCTGGTTTCTCACTCCAGCAACACAAGAGGCACCATATTTTTTAAAAAAGAAAAATAAACTTCTGCTTTATCTATTTGAACAGTGGATCTTAAACAGGAGTTTGCAAGAAAATGGCTTTTGTAGCATGCACAGGCTTAGACTCAAGCCCCAGAGATTCTGAAGCGGTATGTCTCCAATGGGACCCAACCAAGTATCAATATATTTTGAAAAAAAGTACCTCAGGCAATTTTGAGGCATTGTCAGTTCTCAAGTAATTGGTCTATACTGGGCTAAAGATCATGAACACCATGGTGGTTTAGTTGCTATATTGTAGTATGCATATATAACTAAGCAAAATGACACAGTTATTTGACACAGCAGTCCCTAACACACATGGCCTTCCATCTGCCAGGGGCACTCCCAGTCAGTCCAGGCCTCTCCGAAATGGCCCCGTGGACGGTTCCGCGCTGGGTACAGCAGTGAACACTCACACGGCCCCTGGCCCCAGGGTGCTAACTGTCCGATGAGCATTTATTTATTAAGCACTTAGAATGAGTCCCGCGCTGTGTTAGTCGTTCCTTATATTATTTCATTTAATCCTTACAGTGAATTACCCTGTGAGATAAGTCCTTTTGTTACTCCCATTTTATAGATTAAAAGCCAGGATTCCAAAAGTGTAAGTCATTTTCTCAAGATCACACAGGTATTAGGCAGCAGAACGAGAATGCAAATTCAGGCACGTGCCGCCCGAGGCCATGGCTGTAACTTGTATGATACCACTTCCCTGGACACACCTAGATTCTGATAAATCCCAAATACATTCTATGAGGAAATAAAGTGTAATCTGAATGAACACAGCTATTAAGGGCCACTAAGGGCTTGTGACTGAAGTGGCACAAATAAGACAGGTTAGCAATTATACTGGACATATTTAAGTCCCATCATTAGCATGATAATACCAGCCCTTTCTCTCTGCTCTAAAGAGATAAACTTCAATCCACCCTAATTAATTTTTTAAAGATAAATTATTCACGCATTTTGGTACTTTAAGTATTATTAGTAGTAAATTACTTGTGACATACCTCATAGCTAATTGCAACGCCCTAGTGAGAATAAAGTACTGATATTCCAGCAATGACCAAACAGCTTTTACCTTCTCCTCCTAGCTCACTAAACTTAGACAAAATGGCGCGCAGCCTCTTTTATTACCGGCAACTATAAAGGCAATCAATCATTCATTTCATGACAGAATGAAGAGTGAGTCTAAAAGAACTGTGGCCCAGCCAGCACACTGAATTCCTTTAGGTGGTCGATGTTTGGCATGGGTCCTGGCATCTCTGCACTGTGGTGCTCCGTGGGGTGGGAGGCCATGTGGACCGAGGAGCACAGTGCACAGAACGCAAGGTTAAACACTAACAGCGCGGAACGCTAAGACGTGTCTGGTCCACACGCGGGCTTCCGGGCAAATCTGCACACACCTGATGCGAACAGATGGGTACCCTCAGTCATTCATTTTAGTGTTTAAAGCCCATGCCTAGGACGTAGGAAGAGTTCTTTCACGTTAAGTAAAACGGTTAATTTGGGAGGACGGAGGGATTACTTGAGCGGAAAATGTCACTAGTTTTCCACGGTGTAGGTGACATTTAGAAATATGAAGAGGGCCTCTACTGACAGCACTTTTCCATGTGTTGCTTTCAGTGAGTCAGTGCACAGAGAGGTGAGAAAAACATTGCTTTCCAGACATACATATTTTAAAAACCTATTTTCAAGGCTATCATGACTTCCTCGCTGTGTTTTCATCTCATGCTTGTCTCTTCTGAGGTACTAGATTTGCTGGTCACGTAAGTCTGTCTGTTCTGGAATTCAAGAGTCTCAAAGTGTACATTTATATAAAACTGTTAATGTTTTCATCTTGTGAGACATTTATTCTTGTCTCCTCCTCTCATTTCAAATGACATTGCATTTAGTTCCCATTTTTTTCACGTACTATGTTTTAATTCCTACGTTGCATTAAATGAACACAGATTTGAGTTTAGTTTTTCGCCAAGGACTCAGAAAACTCAGAAATAAAACAAAATAGCAGCACAGATGAGGGGAAACATTCAGATCTCATGAAAAACATGCCTAGGACGATTTTCATGTTTGATTTTACCTTGTTCTTTGCTGTACGTCATCAGAAGACAGAAATTTCGGGACAAACCGCAGATTGCTCTAGTGGGCAGCGCCTGGAGAGAACCAAATCTTTCTCCGTGCGGCTGGCTGAAGCAGACCACAGGTACTGGGGCACTTGGGGAACCGACATACTCCCCCCACTTCAAGCCTTTTATCCATGACAAAGGACTCTACAACCGAGGAAAGTAAAAAGTACAATTTAAAAAAAGGTAGTAAATATAGAATCACTTCTAATTTAAACTCCAAACAGAGTAAGGGAAAGCAGCCTGATTATAAGCCCTTTGTGGGCAAGAATTATTTTATAATTTTTTACTTCCCCCGTGCTTAGCATATGGAAATATGTGTTCTTGGTTGCTAGACACAGTGATGAACAAGACACATGAGGTCCCAGTGCCCGTGGAGCTGTCTGATAGCTGGGAAGCAGGGCAGACAACAACTAAACAAATACATACACAAGTTGTCAGCTGGTGCAAGTGCTATGAAGAAAGTCAAAGAAGGGGAAGAGGACCAAGAGTGACAGAGCTGCCCGTTTAGACACGGGGGTCGGGTAAGACTGTCTGCGGAGATAATGTCTGAGCAGACACCTGACTGAAACAGAGAGCAAACTGGGGTTCTATCTGGGGATGGGCACGCCAGGCGGAGGGAACAGCCAGTGCGAAGGTCCTGGGGTGGGAAGGAGGCAGGTCCGTACACGTTCCCACTGCAAACAGACATACTGCTCAGGTCCTTCATACTTGCCAACTTCAACTAGTTAATGAGCAATAAGTATAGTGGCAAATTAAATGGCGTTTATTACTTTTCAGGGACGTACTGTTATTTTGACATGTTAAAATAATAGATTCTAGCTAAAAATAATGACTCTGGTAATGACAATGACTAAAATGATTTGTAAGGCTTCAAAAGCATATGAGTTTCGTTGACAAGTAAACACAAAACAAAAAATACAGCTTTCAACTATGAAACACAACACTGGTGGTCTGGGTTCAGCAAAACAACACTGTTTCTCCTATTGATGATTTAAAATTTAAATTTCATTTTTACTAGTTGTATAAGTTTTGTTTGTATTTAACATGCAAATTTGATATATATGAGCTCTGAGCATAAAGAACTTACATTTAGTGTTCTATTTGTGTTTTACCTTTAGTGTATTTAAGAAGAAGCATTATTATAAGAAACGACTATCCAAGCAAGATCTGTAAAAACCATGTTCTCTTAAAGTGCCTCCCAGACGACTGCAGTTCGACATCCGTGCTTTACTTTATCTCCAAGACCTTCACAACCTCTTTCCCTTGCCTTTTCATTTTCTGCGATTTCCTTCTGCAAACCTTTGTAACACTTCACAATCTCCCATCTTTGCTGCTTTTATAATGAAGAATTTAGTTGAGGATTAGAATCCATTTTACTCTTAAGGCTTGCTTGCTTTATTTTTCTATTTCAGAGTAAAAATTATACCTACTTCCCATTTTTTTTTTTTTTTTTTTTTTTTTTTTTCTTTTGTGGGCGGGCCCCCCTGTTTTGTCCTCTCCCGCTGTGGAGCACAGGCTCCGGACGCGCAGGCTCAGCGGCCATGGCTCACGGGCCCAGCCGCTCCGCGGCATGTAGGATCTTCCCGGACCGGGGCACGAACCCGTGTGCCCTGCATCGGCAGGCGGACTCTCAACCACTGCGCCACCAGGGAAGCCCCCTACTTCCCATTTTAAGAGGCAATACTTCTAATCATTACAACCTGGAGGGGCCAAAAAAACATGTACGATTTCCCCCTTCATTGTAAACCCAAACATTTACACTTCTGGTCAGCACCTCTGCTGGAAGATAATAACCAGGAAGGACCACGCTAGGCATGTCTGCACTGGCACAGCCATGCTCAGACTCTTCCCGAGTCCTGGATGTTTCCTTTCCTCTCATTTGCAATGCCTGTTATGTCACTGCCTGGTGAGGCTCTCCCCAGTAACGACCCTCAGGGAGGTTACAATCCGACCTGAGCTCCCGAAGTACTCTCTTCGTAGCACTAACGCAGCATTTCCTACACACAGAACGTAGTGCAGGCATCTGCGTTCACTGGCTGGCACTCACCTTCAGGCCGGGACTGTGCTACTCACTTCCCTGCCCCTAGAGCCTGGGACGGGACCTGACGGCTCAGGAGTTGAGCCAGTTTTTGCTGAATTCTATTGAAATCCAAATGACATACCGGATAGGGAACTTCCTTGACCTGTTCTCTGGTTTCCCGGAAAGCAAACTGCACTAACAACCCCACGGCAGCAGGAAGCTCCCCTTCGATGTTGAGCTTGGAGCCAGGTCTGCTCGCATGGGCCGACTGGAACAGCTGACGAGGGGTCTGGCCGTAGGTTTTTATCATGGTTTCCAGTGCTCGTCTCTGAACTGGATCTTCAACTGCAGAGACATCCATTCCAAAATATGTCTGAAGAATAAAAGAAAACGAGAGGTATGTAAAAAGCAAGACTTGGCGATAACACTGAAGGGGAAAACAACAACTTGTTTTATTCTCTAGGCAATGGTTTACTCTTCTCTGTTTCAAATGAAAAGGATTTTAAAATGTTTTTGAACAGGTTAACAATCATTAATAATCAGAATAGGAATTGAGATCAGAATAGGAATGATCAATGCTTCTGAATGGGTGAATGAAAATAATGCACCTTGACTGGTGCTAATTAGGTATGTTTATAAAATTAATTTTAATTTAAGAGAATAACATATAAGACTTCATTTATCTGCACAGCAAAGGAATCCATCAACAAAATGAAAAGACAACCTACTGAATGAGAGAAATTGCTTGCAAATCATATATCTGATAAAGGGTTAGTATCCAAAATCTATAAAGAACTTACACAACTCAGTAGCAAACCCATCTAATTAAAAAGGGGCTGCACTGTTGGTGGGAATGTAAATAGATACAGCCACTATGGAGAACAGTATGCAGGCTCCTTAAAAACTAAAATAGAGCTACCATACGACCCAGCAACCCCACTCCTGGGCACATACCCTGAGAAAACCATAATTCAAAAAGAGTCATGTACCACCGTGTTCATTGCAGCACTATTTACAATAGCCAGGACATGGAAGCAACCTAAGTGTCCATCGACAGACGAATGGATAAGGAAGATGTGGCACATATATACAATGGAATATTACTCGGCCATAAAAAGAAACGAAATTGAGTTATTTGTAGTGAGGTGGATGGACCTACAGACTGTCATACAGAGTGAAGTAAGTCAGAAAGAGAACAAATACCGTATGCTAACACATACATATGGAATCTAAAAAAAAAAAAATGGTTCTGAAGCACCTAGGGGCAGGACAGGAGTAAAGACGCAGATGTAGAGAATGGACTTGAGGACACGGGGAGGGGGAAGGGTAAGCTGGGACGAAGTGAGAGAGCAGCACTGACATATATACACTACCAAATGTAAAATAGCTAGTGAGAAGCGGCTGCATAGCACAGGGAGATCAGCTCGGTGCTTTGTGACCACATAGAGAGGTGGGATAGGGAGGGTGGGAGGGAGACGCAAGAGGGAGGGGATATGGGGATATATGTATACGTATAGCTGATTCACTTTGTTACACGGCAGCAGCTAACACAACAGTGTAGGGCAATTATACTCCAATAAAGATGTTAAAAAAAATGGGAAAAATTATGGAACTTTTCTGCAAAGGAATATTATAAATAAATAAAGGAATAAATTAGAAAGAAAATGGCGGGGGGCGGGCAGAGGACCTGAATAGACATTCTTCCAAAAAAGACATACAGACGGCCAACAGGTATATGAAAAGATGCTCAGCATCACTAATCATCAGGAAAATGCAAGTAAAACCAGAATGAAATATCATCTCACACCTGTGAGAATGGCTAGTATCAAAAAGACAAGAGATAACAACCGTTGGCGAGGATGTAGAGAAAAGGAAGCCCCTCTGCACTGTTGGTGGGAATGTAAATTGGTGCAGCCACTGTGGAGAACAGTATGCAGGTGCCTCAGAAAACTAAAAATAGAGCTACCATATGATCCAGCATTTCCACTTCTGGGTATTTTGAAAACACTAATTTGAAAAGATACATGCACCCCTATGTTCATTACAGCCTTATTTATAATAGCCAGGACATGGAAGCACCCGAAGCATGCACCAATGGAATGGATGGAGACAATGTGGTAAATACATGCAATGGAATTATTACTCAGCCATAAGAAAGAATGAAATCTTGTCACAACACAGGTGGACCTTGAAGGTATGATGCTAAGTGAAACAAGTCAGAGAGAGAGACAAATACCATACAAATAAGTATGATCTCATTTATATGTGGAATCTAAACAAACAAAAGACCAAGCTCGTAAGATTGGTGGTTGCCACAGGTGGGGTGTGGGCAAACGGGTGAAGGGAGCCAAAGGTACAAACTTCCAGCTATAAAGCAAGTAAGTCCTGGGATGTAACGTACAGCATGGTGACTGCAGTTAATAACATTGTACTGCAGATCTGAAAGTTCCTAAGAAAATAAATCTTAAAAGTCTTCATCCCAAGAAAAAAAATTTTTGTAACTACCTATGGGGTGGGTGTTAACTAGACTTACTGCGGTGATCATTTTGCAAATGATCGAAATCAGTATGCTGTATACTGGAAACTAATATAATGTATGTCAATTATACCTCAAATTAAAAAAAAAGAAAAACTAAATGAGGTTTTTCTTTGGTCTTGTCTTTCAGTGAGAATTGATGAAAAATAATCAGGTTTTTCAATTCAGTTGACCCAAAATAGCTTCTGCAAGTAGGTTAGTAGGTGGCTCTATTTTTTCTGTGGCTGCCTGTCAGATATTGGTCAGAAAACTAGAGTCAGGGAATTGGTCAAAATCATTTCAAGTGGTCAACAAAATCAAAAGAGACAAGAGAATGCAGCTATATGGCAACACGAAGACTGAAGTAAACTAGGGGAACCTGCCCCACCTCAATTTCTCAATTCCTAAAAATGAGAACTAGAAGTTCAAAACCATCTGTGTCTGCCTGAAATTACATGATATCCAAATGCCCTTTTGTTCTTTGATGGGAATATGCTCAAAGAAAGAGTCTGATTCCTCTCAAAACACAATGGCTGGTGTCACAGGATGACTTTGTGTCGCTACCCCATCTTGAAGATGTCTAAGAATATCAACTATTGAGATATATTTTCTTACATACAGAGACATTAGTAAGGAACCTAGATTTTTGTAGGTCTATATCTCTTCTCCTGTCTGGGCTGAAGAATCAGGATTCTAAACACCAGCATCACTGAAACCCAAGCAAAGTCTTTGTGCTTTCCATCCTGTAAGCTCAAGAGCAACTCATCCATGCTTTATTTATCCTTGGAGAGGAATAATTGAATTCTGATTCCCTCTCTCTGTGTTTGCTGTGCAGGTTTCCACATACATTGCTGAACCTGACTAGAACCTGGCAGTGAGAAGGCTGTAATGTGATGTATATCCTTCCAGCCTCCCTCAGCCAACCAGGCAAAGCTGTCAACGGAGGAAGCGGGACAGCTTCACCTCCCCGGCAAGGGGCAGAAGACTGGATGAGAAACAAAGTCAAGGTATTCCATCTTCAACCAAAACACTGCAGAGAGGTTGGCACACTTAATGTTGCACGCGACTGGTGTCCTCCATGCTGTCACCTTTCTTAGGACGTGAAGCTAGAGAGAAAGGGGGTTAGGGCAATAATCAGTCTAGAAAAGGAGTAAAAATTCAGGATCTGTCACTGTCCTTTTCTTTCCCACCTAGTGTTTATATATATATATATATATATATATATATATATATATATATATATATATATATATACACACACACATATATATATATATATATATATATAAAGACTTCACGTGTAATACTAAATTATTGAAAAAGTCATTTGTCCAAAGTGATACATAGGAAAAGGTATATAAAAATGAAATTGCAATAGAATGTTAGTAGGTAGCTTAAGAGACTATTATTTAGGTTCTAATGAAAACTGTAAGTGGATCTGAAAGAGCAGCAGTGAAAATTGCAAGTTTTTTAACGTGAAGGGTGTTGTTACACTTTTCTTCTTAGTGTTAGAGTCAGATGGAGGGTGATGTGCACTTACTTTATTATTTTTAAAGCTAGCAGTCAGTAGCTGGGTATAGATCTGTCATGCTTGTGCATCTCGCTTGTGTAATTTAGCTTTTAGCATTGAATCAGTCAGCAAATTTCAGTTTTATATCTGCATAGAACATCTCTATAAATACCAAGAGAAAGTTTCAAAGATTCTTCAGAAGTTAATCTTCAACATCCACTCCCCTCGCCACTACCCTCGCACGACCACAAGGGCTCAAATACCTGTTATAAACGCTTATCTAAGCAGGCTCATTCCTAATGGTTGCTTGATTTAATATACTCGAAAATTCAAATGAAGAATGGAATAATCCGGTATCCAAGACTCTTAAAATTTACTTTAAATTAGTATCTTTACGTTCTGTGGTATCAGTTTCTAGTGAACCCCATATATTGGTGAATGACGAATTAAGATCAAAAGGCATTTTTACATTCCTCTTAAAATATTTTTTCTATTTTTTTTAAATTAATGAATGAATTAATTTATTTTTGGCTGCGTTGGGTCTTCGTTGCTGTGCGCGGGCTTTCTCTAGTTGTGGCGAGTGGGGGCTACTCTTTGTTGCGGTGCGCGTCCTTCTCATTGCGGTGGCTTCTCTTGTTGCGGAGCACGGGCTCTAGATGCACGGGCTTCAGCAGTTGTGCCACGCGGGCTCAGTAGTTGTGGCTCACGGGCTCAGTAGTTGTGGTACATGGGCTTAGCTGCTCCACGGCATGTGGGATCTTCCTGGACCAGGGCTCGAACCCGTGTCCCCTACAATGGCAGGCGGATTCTTAACCACTGTGCCACCAGGGAAGCCCCTACATTCCTTTTTACAAAGTTAACATTTATTTGCACTTAACTGGATGGCAGACATTACCCTGTATGCATTTTCTTATTTATGAGGCTGGTATTATTGTTCACATTTTACAAATTTGTACATTAAGGTACAGAGAAGTTAAGGTCACACTGCAGGTCACACAGTAAGTGGTAGAGTGAGGATTTGAACTCAAATGTGGATTTAGAGACTATGTGCTTAATTGTGACACTTGGTTTTGTCCCATGAATTGAGTTTTATTAAATTTCTAGAACAGGACTTCCCTGGTGGTCCAGTGGTTAAGACTCCACGCTTCTACTGCAGGGCGCACGGGTTAGATCCCTGGTCAGGGAACTAAGATCCCACATGCCGCGTGGCGCAGCAAAATAAATAAATAAATTGTATTTAAATATTCTAGAACGATGGTATAAACTCTATCCTTTTTAAAGCTCTAAAGTCTCAAAGAATTAATGAAAAAAATCTAGTAAGATGAGAATTAAATGGTATATTTCAGCATGCAGATACTTTTAATGTGAATTTTATATGAGAACAAGTGAAAATTTGTCCCAGTATTATAGGCACAGAGTATATTGAGGTTAATGTCCAAATTCTTAATTGCTTTTAAAGTTACATTTTGCATCAAATATGAACAAAGTTCAAAAATTATACCTCAGTCTTTAAAACTTATAAAAATTTTATATACATTTTTATAGAGGTATATTTTACTTACAATAAAACAATACAGATTTTTATAGCACCATCCCATGCAACCATCACGCAAATCAAGGTATAGAGCATTTCCATCACCCCAGAAAGTTCCCTGGTACACCTGTGGCAGTCACTACTCTACTCCCCAGAGGCAATTCGATTGGAAATTATCTTAAAGAAATAAAGAACCATCTTTAAGATAAATTCCCCATGATTTCTACCACTAAGAGATTAATGTTCCTTGTTCTTGAATTTCATGTAAACGGAGTGGATTCATACAGAGTGTACTCTTATGTAAGGCTTCTTTCATTCAGTGTAAAATGTTTTGGAGATTCATCCATGCTGTCACAGACATCTGAAATCCATTCCTCTTCACTGTTGAGTAGTATTCCACCTACCCAATATCTGGAATTGTTAGTCTTTTTACTTTCAGTCATTCTCAAGGATATAAAGTGGTAACTCATCATGGCTTTAATTTGCATTTCCCTGATGACTAAAGATGCCAGCACCTTTATCATTTGCTTACTGGCCATTCATATATGTTCCCTCCCTATGTGAATCTTATTCACCTTCGTATCCCTAGAGCCTAGCAAAATAAATGTTTTCTGAATAGATAGATTTTTTTTTAAAAAAGGTAGACTATCTAACAACATTAAAAAACATATGTTGAGGTGTAACAATTCTGCTTCTAGGAATTTATCTTGAAGAAGTAAAGAGCTACATAAAGAAATAATCTGAGGAATATTAGTTTTAATAGCAAATGCATACTAACTAAATATCCAACAATAGGGGACTGGTTAAATAAATTATTGGATAGCCATACTTTGGAATAAATAGTATTAATATTATATAAATGGAGTGATACATATGTATAGATAAAAGTCTAGAAGGTGGTTTGATATTTATCTTTGGATGATGATATCAAAGTTGATTTTAAAATTTCTTCCTTTTGCAGTCTGTATCTTATACATTTTTCTAACAAGGCACATATATTGCTCATGCAATAAGGAAAAATGAGGCCATTTAAAAATAGAACATGTATTGATATACAGGACAGTATGCAGAAAAGAGTTATGCGGCAGGCCTGAACTGCTCTCCTTGGGATGGCATGCCTGCAAATGTGGTCCTTGGCTGGTGTCTGGGAACATGGATTTCAAGAGAGTTCCCACCTTCTCTACCTGATAAGAGTGGCTCACTGCACCCAAACTGTACAAACAGTGTGGTGTATACTGAATACCGGTCTCCTTCTGGACGCCGGAATTTCAGGACTTGTGAGAGAGAGGGTGCCTACATGACCAGTCCTCAATAAAAACGCTGGCACTGCATCCCTCATGAGCTTCCCTGGTAGACAACATCACACGTGCTGTCACAATTTGTTTCTGGAGGAAGTGAGTGAGTTCCTTGTGATTCACTGGGAGAAGTCTCTTGGAAGCTTGTGCCTGGTTTCCTCCAGCTTTGCCCGGTGCATCTTTTCCTTTTGCTGATTTTGCTTTGTACCCTTCACTGTAATAAACCTTAGCTGTAATTACAACTATATGCTGAGTTGTTAAGTCCTCATCCAACCTGGGGATGGTCTTGGGGAACCCCTGACAGATAGTATCTTAGTTATTCTTAAAGAGGCGAAATATAAAACCTGAAAAATCTTGGGCAAGTTTAGTGTCTTTGTCAATTCTCTTTGATAACTTGGGTATTGTAAAGAAACAGTCTAACCTTCTACCTTATATAAATGCAGAGTTTTAAAAGAGTCACTTACAGCAGGATGAAAAACATTGATGGCTTGGACAGAGGCCTTCCCTTTTTGCTTATACCCGAATACCAAGTCGATCCACTGACAGATGTTCTGGGACACGTAGTCAGACTCTAGAGCCTGTCTATGGATGAGGATAAAAAGACGAGGATCGTTACGTGCCCAAGGCGGGAGGTTGACGTGATTAACCCGTTCACCATTCTGGCGTACACCAAAATCGAAACCTAAAAGAGAAGAGTAATATCAATGTTTATCTCCCCCAGAGCATGCTTCCTTTGGCCCACGGAGCAGATCGTAAGAGTTCACAGAAACAGCTATTGTGTGCTATAACCTGGAGAAGGAGCAGCGAGAGGATAGTAACACCGTTGCTCACCTGCTGACTTACCCCTCACAGAGCTACATGGATTAACGCTATCTATCCTAACTGAATCTGAGATCTTTCAACTTTACCCTTCCACCGCTTTATATCATATTGAAAAACAAGCAGAAAATCATTGCCCACTAATTCCAATATTCCAGTTATCAAATCTTCAAATGCATCAAGTGAGAAAATATCTCAATTGTAAACCTGATTAAAATAAAGTGAAGGCTTTTGTATAAGCATTTCTGAATGATTGGTGTTAACATATAATAAATTCAAGACTACTTATATGTAGTAAGTATTAGCATTCTGTAGTTTAAAAACTCAATGAATACAAAGTATACACATTCCTAGAATGAACTGTCTTAGTCTATTAATTTTATGGTAAATCTATAGGTCTGTTCTGATTTCATTTCCACTAAGCATTCCTGTGGACAACAAAATTATACTAACACACTGAGTAAGAGGGTTCTTCCGCGATGTAAATAAGGTATTACCTAATTGCCTCATTAGTCTGCTAGTGTAAACAAAAATCTCAGAAGTGTTTCTTTAAAAAATTGTCCTAAAGGAAATGCTACCTTTGAACAGAACCTTTTTTTGTGCTACCTTTTTTTTTTTTAATGGACAGAAAATCCGAACACCATAGCAGAATCCAAATTTAAAAAGGCCTCTTAAAAGCTAATTATGCTCCATGTAAAATTAAGTTGCTGTCTGCCTACTTCTGGATCTTGTGAAAACAGTTGGAAGGATCTTCACTAATTTTGGAAGTACTCTGAAATGATATGATATAAAATATAAACTAAGGGCTTATATAAAATTAATACGGGGTGGGGGTGAGGGTCACCTCAAAAATCCCAGCAGTCATCCAACAGACAGCTGCAGGGTGACAGCGTTAGGATGTACTGGCTGAGCACCTCCATACTCTATGCAGCGGCTTCAGGGGAAGCAGCAGAGACTTACTGATTGATCAATGGTGATGAGGCATCTAAGGGCTGAGCTAGGAGGGGTTGAGCCACAGGGGGTCTCTGTGAACTCAAATCATTCCCAACTTTTTGGTGCTCTGGGAACACATCACAGAGGTAGACACTGTTCACCCAGAGCAGATGCCTGGAGGTACAATGAGAGGCCTATAGAAATGCTCATAGGAAATAGCAGGATGTATGCTATAGCAAGTTATCGTTTCCAAAAATGGCTGTAACACCACTTGCTGTTGTGCATGCTTTTCTAGAATCTTGCTGCTCCCCTATCAAATGGCAAAGTCTATGCTCCTTCCTTTTGAATGTGGGCAGGCACTTGTGACTACCTCACAAACAGAATGCAGTGTAAGTGCCACCGTGTGACTTCCAAGGCTAGGCTGGAAAAGGCCATGCAGCTTCTGCTCATCTCTCTAGGGACACTTGCCTTTGGAACCCTGAGTTGCCAAGTAGGGTGTCCGAGGCCGCCATGCTGTGAGGAAGTCCACACTAGTCCACGTGGAGAAACCACATGGAAAACCATGGACACTACCTGAAGAGAGAGATGCCCACCAGCCCCGTGCTGCTCTGTTCCCCTGGATGTTCCAGCTCCAGCCAATCTGAATGCACAAGAGATCCTGAGCCAAAACCACAAAAACCACGTGGCTGAGCTGTTCCTGAATTTCTGACGTGCAAAAACTGTGATGGATAATACATTCAATGTTGTTTTGAGTCACTAAGTATTGGGGTTATTCACTATGCAGCCATAGATAACAGGAACATACATATAAGAAACCACAGAGGAATGTGGTTTTTGGACAGAGAAATGAGTCCCTGATTGAAAGCCACAAGGCAGGTACCCCCAGCTGCAGGTGCTGATATTTCACTGAGGCATTTCTCACTTGGGCAACACTATGAAGCTTGTTCCAGGTAATTAGCAGCATGGATTTATTAATGATACTCTAAATAACTCCAGAGAGGCCAGTTAATATAGGAAAAAATTCTGAAGTCATTTGTCCAACATTAACCTCTCTAAAGATATAATTCTCAATTTCATGTATTTCCTAAAGGTCACATAAAAATATGAAATTAAGTAATGTAGGAAAACGACCCAAAGATACCCTGTAAAGGATTAACTGATCTTACATTAAAGAACAGGTAAGATTACCAAGATAGTCGGTCACTGGCATCACAGAAAATCAGATTTTATCTTCTAGTGTTCCTTTTCATTATTAGATAACTCTAATTAGAGTGTTTTATTTCTAACTTGGTCATTCCTCATAAAATCATTGAGATTTTGGTTAATTTACATTGTTCTTTATAAATTCATGACTTTTTTTATAATCAGCATATTATAACTTTTGTAATCAGAGAAAATAATAAAGCAAGTTCTGTAACAGAATTAAAATACATGTTTACAAATACTTTTAATAGTTAAAAGTTACAGTTTTCCAGATATACCTAGTCCTATAAAATATTTAACATCCTCAAGCTCACTTGGAAATAACATTATATACTTAATAAGTAAAGGTATTTCTCTTATTTGGGGACTCAAATTTTAGGACTTACAAAAGGTATTTTTATTTTTGGAAAATTATAAAGTAAGTACAAACCCTCAGAAATTTAAATTAGAAAACGGTTTACTGTTATACCTTCACGGTTAACTAAGAATTCTGGAAGATAGAAAAACTCTGGGATAAGTTCTTTCACATCAGTCATGGACTCAAAAGAGGAGAGACGCCAGGTTGTGTTTGTAGAATGAAAAGTTCTGTCTGGGATGTCAAAACTCTGATCTGAAAAAATACAAATAACACACTTAAGACACAAAGACTTGATTCCATTTGAAACTTGTTACAATTAATTCACTTTTACTATTTCAAAAAGATTAAAATGATGTTCACTTTGTCCATAGTTTAAAAGAGATTATTCGTGTTCTTGAAAATAAATATTTCTCTACATAATTTGCGACTGCATTATGTTATTTTTAATCGGTATTATGCTTTCATAGTACATATAACTAGATAAACATATATCACTTATTTGTTTAATTGATTACTGTCTGCCCAAGTAGAATGAAAGTTCCGTAAAAGTAGAGACCTGGGATATCAACCATACCGAGCACATTCTAGGAACTGGATAATCATTTATTTACTGAATGAAAGAATAAGGAAGGAAAATTAAAGTTCAAATAGGTAAAATAAGTTTTTTCCCCCATCAAGAAGCAAGATTATTTCTTTACCTCTTTTCTTCCCTCTTTTCTTTTTTTTGGGGTAGGGGGGCATTACTTTTTAGATGTTCTAACTCTAACCTAAAAAATTAAGTAAAATTTCCTATGAATGAAAATAAAACTAAGAATACTTACTCCTTTGTTAAGTTTTTCTGGTGAACACTATTAATAATCGAGAACTGAGTTTTGACCCTGTCTTTTCTGTCAACAGCTATCAGACTTTCTATCCTAGAATATGAAATGATATCTAAAGACCAGCCCTTAAAAACAGCAGCAGCACGGATGCTTCTTCAGAACCATGCTGTACCATCCAAAACTCCTCTCAACTTGCTGAAATTTGAACACATCTTTTTATCTGGAGACTGTTAGAGACTAATTTCAGCATCAAGCAAGGCACAATTTTTTAAAAATATGCTAAATCTTCCGCAAGCCTGACCTGCTTTGCCGAGCAACATTTTCTATTACTACTTTCTCATCTATTCTGTTGAGTCAGCATTGGCTGGGCACTAAATAAAATCTGGGGAGAAATTAGGTTTATAAATATTTCTTTTTTTCTCAGAAAGTAGGCAGGGCCACTTAAAGAAATATTTACTCACTCAGGAGAAAAAGTTATTAATCTAAATGGAATCCAGAAAAATTAAAGGCAGTTCTGTGAAGCTAGATGGAATCACAGTATCCAGAGTAGAGACTACAGAACTGTGGAACAGGAGAAGCACACTGAGGTTTCTGTTGGGATTTTTAAATTCTCTGCAGCTTCTTGATAAAAAAAAAAGTAATACTACATTTCCTATAATTTAGAACATGTATGAACTCAACTGGTAGTTGTTAACCTAGCACTTTTGTCCCCCAGGGGACACTTGGCAATGCCTAGAGACATTTTTGGTTCTCACGGCTGGGTGGGAGGGGATGCCACTAGCATCTAGTACGTAGGGGCCAGGGATACTGCTAAATGTCCTACAATGCACAGGACAGTCGCCATAACAAAGAATTATGTAGCTCAAAATGACTACAGTGCCAAGGTGAGAAACCCTGGACTAAATGAGAAGTCTAGAAATAAATTAAAAAGCCATCACACATCATTTTAAATTAATCAGAAGAAACTGAATGGGGACTTAGGTTGTCCCTGTTTTCTTTCTTTTTTTTTTAATCATTCTTAAATACACAATGAGGAAAACCTAGCATAATAGTTGATTGGGAGTTTTACTGGGATATTACTATATCCTTGGGCTACGTGAAAAGAAACGGAGGGCAGTAACAGTTCTGTTATACACTGCAGTCATCCCAAACCACATCTGAAATATTCTTTTTTACTCTGACTGCCACTTTTTATTCAGAGCATTCACAAATCAGAACATGTCCAGAAAGATGAGCAGAGCAGTGACAGGTTTGGAAACCAGAGCAAACACGGCTTAAATATGAGTTTTTAAACGCTTTACTAAGTACAGAACTGTCTTATTTATTTTTGTATTCCTTGCAGCAGCTGGGATAAGGCCTTGCATATAGGAAGCTCTCAACTGGAGGTCAAATTAACTAAGGATAATTAGCCTGGGAATAAACAGGAGTGAGAGGAGAAGGGGGACAGGGCAGTAATGTTCAAATATTTGAACAGCTGTCATACAGAACGTTTGTTTTGTGTACAGACAGAGGGACAAATATAAGAAAGCCCCTTTTATAGACCAAGTAGTCTACAGTCTATAAAATTCATTCCTCCAAGAGGTTGCATGTGAGTATAAATATATACAGAAGTTCAAGAAGGGTTGAGTAAATGAACGGATGATTCCATAAATGATTCTGGGCACCAGGAGGAACAACCACAGGACTAGTACCATGGTCCTCACTGGAAACTGATAGGTGAGTGTGTCCCTGTTTGCACGCAAAGCAGTAACTTCATCTCTATCTAAGTCATCTTCAGGCCTGAGGGCTGCCACTGAAAATGCCGAGGTAGAAGATTAACTAGACAGTTACTATAGTGAAGGTGGCAGTGTGGCTCTCCTATAACCACTTACAACTCACTCAGTTGTCAGAACAACTGACAATAACATATTCCCCTTTAGGGGCCAAAGATAACTTAGGTGATCTCAAATAATTATTAAGTTGAACATTATAAAAAAGTGAATTGCATACACTTTAAAAGGGTAAATTTAATGCTATGTGAATGACATTAATTTTTAAATAGTGAATTGCACTTTTATAAACTTAGACATGTTCAATTTGAAGCTAAAATGTAAGACATTAACAAGCTCACGTGGCTTACTGCTGTTTTTTTTTTTAACATCTTTATTGGAGTATAATTGCTTTACAATGTTGTGTTCGTTTCTGCTGTATAACCAAGTGAAGCTATATATATGCATATATCCCCATATCCCCTCCCTCTTGCGTCTCCCTCCCACCCTCCCTATCCCATCCCTCTACGTGGTTGCAAAGCACCGAGCTGATCTCCCTGTGCGATGCAGCCGCTTCCCACTAGCCATCTATTTTACATTTGGCAGTGTATATATGTCCACGCCACTCTCTCACTTCGTCCCGGCTTACCCTTCCCCCTCCCCGTGTCCTCAAGTCCATTCTCTACGTCTGTGTCTTTACTCCTGTCCTACCCCTAGGTGCTTCAGAACCTTTTTTTTTTTCGATTCCATATATATGTGTTAGCATACGGTATTTATTTTTCTTTTTCGAACTTCCTTCACTCTGTATGACAGACTCTAGGTCCATCCACCTCACCACAAATAACTCTATTTCGTTTCTTTTTATGACTGAGTAATATTCCATTGTATATATGTGCCACATCTTCTTTATCCATTCACCTGTCAATGCACATTTAGGTGGCTTCCATGTCCTGGCTATTGTAAATAGTGCTGCAATGAACATGGTGGTACATGACTCTTTCTGAATTATGGTTTTCTCAGGGTATATGCCCAGTAGTGGGATTGCTGGGTCATATGGTAGCTCTACTGTAAGTTTTTTAAGGAACCTCTATACTGTTCTCCATAGTGGCTGTATCAATTTACATTCCCACCAACAGTGCAAGAGGGTTCCCTTTTCTCCACACCCTCTCCAGCATTTATTGTTTGCAGATTTTTTGACGATGGCCATTCTGACTGGTGTGAGGTGACACCTCGTTGTAGTTCTGATTTCCATTTCTCAATGATTAGTGATGTTGAGCATTCTTTCATGTGTTTGTTGGCAATCTGTATATCTTCTTTGGAGAAATGTCTATTTAGGTCTTCTGCCCATTTTTGGATTGGGTTGTTTTTTTGATATTGAGCTGCATGAGCTGCTTGTAAATTTTGGAGATTAATCCTTTGTCCGTTGATTCGTTTGAAAATATTTTCTCCCATTCTGTGGGTTGTCTTTTTGTCTTGTTTATGGTTCCTTTGCTGTGCAAAAGCTTTTAACTTTCATTAGGTCCCATTTGTTTATTTTTTTCCCATTTCTCTAGGAGGTGGGTCAAAAAGGATCTTGCTGTGATTTATGTCATAGAGTGTTCTGCCTATGTTTTCCTCTAAGAGTTTTATAGTGTCTGGCCTTACATTTAGGTCTTTAATCCATTTTGAGTTTATTTTTGTTTATGGTGTTAGGAAGTGTTCTAATTTCATTCTTTTACATGTAGCTGTCCAGATTTCCCAGCACCACTTATTGAAGAGACTGTCTTTTCTCCACTGTATACTCTTGCCTCCTTTATCAAAGATAAGGTGACCATATCTGTGTGGGTTTCTCTCTGGGTTTTCTATCCTGTTCCATTGATCTATATTTCTGTTTTTGTGCCAGTACCATGCTGTCTTGATGACTGTAGCTTTGTAGTATAGTCTGAAGTCCGGGAGCCTAATTCCTCCAGCTCCATTTTTCTTTCTCAAGATTGCTTTGGCTATTCAGGGTCTTTTGTGTCTCCTTACAAATTGTGCAATTTTTTTGTTCTAGTTCTGTGAAAAATGTCATTGGTAGTTTGATAGGGATTGCACACTGAATCTGTAGATTACTTTGGGTAGTAGAGTCATTTTCACAATGTTGATTATTCCAATCCAAGAACATGGAATTTCTCTGCATCTGTTTGTATCATCTTTAATTTCTTTCATCAGTGTCTTACAGTTTTCTGCATACAGGTCTATTGTCTTCTTAGGTAGGTTTCTTCCTAGGTATTTTATTCTTTTTGTTGCAATGGTAAATGGGAGTGTTTCCTTAATTGCTCTTTCAGATTTTTCATCATTAGTGTATAGGAATGCAATACATTTCTGTGCATTAATTTTGTATCCTGCTACTTTACTAAATTCATTGACTAGCTCTAGTAGTTTTCTGGTAGCATCTTTAGGATTCTCTATGTATAGTATCAGGTCATCTGCAAATAGTGACAGTTTTACCTCTTCTTTTCCGATTTGGATTCCTTTTATTTCTTTTTCTTCTCTGACTGATGTGGCTAAAACTTCCAAAACTATGTTGAATAATAGCAGTGAGAGTGGGCAACCTTTTCTTGTTCCTGATTTTAGAGGAAATGATTTCAGTCTATCACCATTGAGAATGATGTTGGCTGTGGGTTTGTCATAAATGGCCTTTATTATGTTGAGGTAGGTTCCCTCGATGCCTACTTTCTGGAGGGTTTTTATCATAAGTGGGTGTTGAATTTTGTCGAAAGCTTTCTCTGCATCTATTGAGATGACCATATGGTTTTTCTCCTTCAATTTGTTAATATGGTTTATCACATTGATTGATTTGCGTATACTGAAGAATCCTTGCATTCCTGGGATAAACCCCACTTGATCACGGTGTATGATCCTTTTCATGCGCTGTTGGATTCTGTTTGCTAGTATTTTGTTGAGGATTTTTGCATCTCTGTTCATCAGTGATATTGGCCTGTAGTTTTCTTTCTTTGTGACATCTTTGTCTGGTTTTGGTATCAGGGTGATGGTGGCCTTGTAGAATGAGATTGGGAGTGTTCCTCCCTCTGCTATATTTTGGAAGAGTTTGAGAAGGATAGGTGTTAGCTTTTCTCTAAATGTTTGATAGAATTCGCCTGTGAAGTCATCTGGTCCTAGGCTTTTGTTTGTTGGAAGATTTTTAATCACAGTTTCAATTTTAGTGCTTGTGATTGTTCTGTTTATACTTTATTTCTTCCTGGTTCAGTCTCGGAACGTTGTTCTTTTCTAAGAATTTGTCCATTTCTTCCAGGTTGTCCATTTTATTGGCATAGAGTTGCTTGTAGTAATCTCTCATGATCCTTTGTACTTCTGCAGTGTCAGTTGTTACTTCTCCTTTTTCATTTCTAATTTGGTTTATTTGAGTCTTCTCCCTTTTTTTCCTGATGAGTCTGGCTAATGGTTATCAATTTTGTTTATCTTCTCAAAGAACCAGCTTTTAGTTTTATTGAACTTTGCTACTGTTTCCTTCAGTTCTTTTTCATGTATTTTTGATCTCATCTTTGATTTCTTTCCTTCTGATAACTTTGGGTGGTTTTTTTTGTTATTCTTTCTCTAATTGCTTTAGATGTAAGGTTAGGTTGTGAATTTGAGATTTTTCTTGTTTCTTGAGGTAGTATTGTATTACTATAACCTGCCCTCTTAGAACTGCTTTTACTGCATCCCAGAGGTTTTGGGTCGTCGTGTTTTCATTGTCATTTGCTTCTAGGTATTTTTTGATTTCTTCAGCGATCTCTTGGTTATTTAGTAGCGTATTGTTTAGCCTCCATGTGTTTGTATTTTTTACAGTTTTTTTCCTGTAATTGATATCCAGTCTCATAGCGTTGTGGTAGGAAGAGATACTTGATATGATTTCAATTTTCTGAAATCTACCAAGGCTTGATTTGTGACCCAAGATATGGTCTATCCTGGAGAATATTCCACGAGCACTTGAGAAGAAAGTGTATTCTGTTGTTTTTGGATGGAATGTCCTATAAATATCAATTAAGTCATTCTTGTTTAATGTATCATTTAAAGCTTGTGTTTCCTTATTTATTTTCATTTTGGATGATCTGTCCACTGGTGAAAGTGTGGTGTTAAAGTCCCCTACTAAGATTGTGTTACTGTCGATTTCCCCTTTTATGGCTGTTAGCATTTGCCCTATGTATTGAGGTGCTCCTATGTTGGGTGTATAAATAGTTACAATTGTTATATCTTCTTCTTGGATCGATCCCTTGATCATTATGTAGTGTCCTTCTTTGTCTCTTGTAATAGTCTTTATTTTAAAGTCTATTTTGTCTGATATGAGACTTGCTACTCCAGCTTTGTTTTGATTTCCATTTGCATGGAATATCTTTTTCCATCCCCTCACTTTCAGTCTGTATGTCTCCCTAGGTCTGAAATGGGTCTCTTGTAGACAGCATATATACAGGTGTTGTTTTTGTATCCATTCAGCTAGTCTATGTCTTTTGGTTGGAGCTTTAATCCATTTACATTTAAGGTAGTTATTGATATGTATGCTCCATTTTCTTAATTGTTTTGGGTTTGTTTTTGTAGGTCTTTTCCTTCTCTTGTGTTTCCTGCCTAGATAAGTCCCTTTAGCATTTGTTGTAAAGCTGGTTTGGTGGTGCTGAATTCTCTTAACTTTTATTGTCTGTAAAGGTTTTAATTTCTCCATTAACTCTGAATGAGATCCTTGCTGGGTAGAGTAATCTTGGTTGTAGGTTTTCCCTTTCATAACTTTAAATATGTCCTGCCACTCCCTTCTGGCTTGCAGTTTCTGCTGAAAGATCAGCTGTTAACCTTATGGGGATTCCCTTGTTTGTATGCTATTTGTTGCTTTTCCCTTGCTTCTTTTAATATTTTTTCTTTGTATTTAATTTTTCATAGTTTGATTAATACGTGTCTTGGTGTGTTTCTCCTTGGGTTTATCCTGTATGGTACTCTCTGTGCTTCCTGGACTTGACTATTTCCTTTCCCATGTTAGGGAAGTTTTTGACTATTATCTCGTCAAATATTTTCTCAGACCCTTTCTTTTTCTCTTCTTCTGGGACCCCTATAGTTTGAATGTTGGTGTGTTGAATGTTGTCCCAGAGGTCTCTGACACTGTCCTCAATTCTTTTCATTCTTTTTTCTTTATTCTGCTCCTGGCAGTCATTTCCACCATTTTATCTTCCAGCTCACTTATCCGTTCTTCTGCCTCAGTTATTCTGCTATTGATTCCTTGTAGAGT